GTCCACCGAGTGGGCTCAGCTCCCGTCTCGGGCTGGGGGACCCCCTTCCTTCATGCCTTCCCTCCGCCAGGCCTGGGGAGCTCTCCTAGACCCCCGTCCCCAGCAGGGCCGGGCCATTCCCTGCCCACAGCCCCTACAGGAGCTGGCTGGGCGGGCTGGGCCTGCTCAGAGCCACGGGCAGCCCGGCTGACCTGGAGGGTTCCCAGGCCTGGGCTCTAGGCCCCTGACCCTCACCAGCCCTGGCGGTCCCCCTGCCTGGGTCCAAGGCTCTGGTGACCTCGGCTTCCTACCGGCTCCCTGGACCTCCCGTACTGACCCCATCCGTGACACTGTGGCTCCTCCCACAGCCCGTCAGAGCCACAGCTGGCCAGGCAGGGGCGGCCTCTCAGAGGTGGGTGTGCCAAGGACTGGGGCCAGCATCCCGCCAAGGCCCTGTGGGCGTGGACTTTGAAAAACAAGATGTCCCTGGGCCTGGCGACACCTTGATGGGACCTGTCAGGAGGGCTGGCACCTCTGGGCGGTGGGCACAGCAGGGAGAGGGGCTGGAGGGGCGCAGAGCTGCCTTGGAGCCCAGGGCTCTGCAGCAGCGTCTCATTTAAGCCTCGCAGCTTGACCCCATCGTGAGGATGCGGCACCTTCGGCTCCAGGAGGCCACCTGATCCGCCTCCCACAGCTGACCTGCTGCACATGCCCGCCACCACCCCGTGTGCTGTGGTCTCAATGCCCTCCTGTAGCTCCCAGGTTTGCTGCAGTGACAACAGTCCTTCTAGAACCCTCCACGAACAGGGAATGTGGCCCGTGAAACCTGAAGCCAAAGGCTCAGCTCTGGCCTCAGCACCCAAGAAGCTGCCCGCCGGCCTGCCCCCACAGCACAGCGCTGGCCGCTCCTGCCGGCCCCACCTTGTCCTGGCTAGGAGCCCCTCGGGAAGGACAGGAGTCTGTCCCCAGCCCTGGGGTCCCGGGGCTTTCCCGGAGCTGAGGAGGCCCGGAAGTCCCGGCAGTGAGGGCTGGACAGGGCCTGAGCACCGTCTGGGCTGTCGACCTGGACCCGGCCGCGCCCGCTCCCCAGCAGCAGCCCCCACCCACTCGGCCCTGGGCCCTCGTACCCCTGCGTGGGCTCTGAGCGGGGGTCCTTTGTCGACATCGCGTCTCCAGTGCCCGACTCTGCTCCCGGTCTCCTCGCCGGCCCTCCTCTGCCCTGCCCGGCCCTGCCTCGGCTGCTCCCACCCCCAGGCCTGGCACTGGGTGCTCCCACACCTCCTCGCTCCCACTGCCGGCCTCCCTGGCACGGCCCGCTGGGGAACAGGTTGGGCAGGCTGTGGGGAGGGCTGGCAGGGCCCCACCCGATCAGGAGAAGCCCCCGAGGCGAGATGAGCTGCCAGCCACCTCCACCCCCACGCAGCAGGTCCAGGTCTGCAGGAGCGACAGTGGCTCCTTCTTTTCTGCTCTCCTGTGACCAACTGGCACCCTGGAGGTAGGTGGAGGGGCCTCCACAGCAGGGAGCAGCTCCAGGGTGAAGCACACTTCATTTGATTATTCTCCTCTTTAC